TCGCTCTCTGCGGTAGGAGCGGCCTGCTTTACGACTTTGCGGTTTATCAGGGGGAAAACACAATTCCCGCTGAGCTGAAGAAAGACTACGGCCTTTGTTCTGGTGTTGTAGTACACCTGTCTAAAAGAATCCCAACTGGCTGTAATTATCAACTCTACTTTGATAATAATTTTACGTCAGTGCCGCTCCTCCGCAAACTCCGAAACGAAACGATTCTCGCCGCAGGGACTGTGCGGAGTAACAGGCTGGGCAAGTGTCCTCTTGAACCAGCTAAAGTAATGAAAAAGAAAACGCGAGGATACTCCACTGAGTATGTCACAAGTGACGATATTGTTGTGGTTTCGTGGAAGGACAACAACAGCGTATGTGTGGCTTCCAACTTCGTTGGAATCGGAAACCAACAGCAGGTAAAAAGATGGGACAAGGCCAAGCGTGAACACATCTTTGTAGAGCAGCCGGAAGTAATTACGAAGTACAACCGGAATATGGGAGGCGTCGACAAGGTGGACTTCCTGCTTATCCTGTACCGGATCAAAATCAAATCAAGGAAGTGGACGCTAAGAGCACTCTTTCATTTTGCAGACATTGCTGTATGGAATGCTTGGCTAGAGTACATACAGGATCACCCGGACATGCGGAGGTCAAGGCTACTGGACCTCATGCATTTCCGCCTGCAGATTGCGGAGGCCCTCATCACGTCTGTGCCAAGCAAGAGAAGGCGTGGGAGGCCGTCACAAGGAATTGAAGATGCTCCCATGGATCCTCCGCACAAGAAGGCAGAGGGCATCCAGCGGCCATGCTCAGATAGCCATTACGATGGTGTGGATCACTGGCCAGAAGCTCGAGATCAAGCAGTCCCATCAAGGTGCAAGTATGAAACATGCAGAGGGAAGATCCCGAATATTCTGTAAGAAGTGCCGCGTCCCGCTTTGCCTGACGAAGAACCGCAACTGCTTTTTCAGATTTCATGTTTGAAAGCCCCCTTGTTTCATGACCTTTGACACGCTTTGTACACAATCGCCTACATGTCTGTAAAAAATAAACTATAACGATGTTCTTGTAAGTTGCACGTGATTTCGTCTCATTTTGTTGTAAATTGATATTTCAGACACAAAAAAACGTTTCTTTCCGGAAATAACGATTGGCGCCTGAAAGGGTTAACATGACTCCATATTAGGTAGCCCGATTTCTGGGTGATCTTTAGATTGCATGCTCACAACAAACTCATAATATTAGGTTGCTAAGATCGGCATTCTTGGTGGCGTTTGCCCGAACTAGAAGCAATTCAGCGGGGCGAGCTTCAGGCTCCGCTCATGCTTTCAGTTGATCCTCAAAATGTGGAAAGCGATCAAGTGGAACCACGGTGGAAGAATTACATTTAGGTGCTGACTCTGGCCACTCTTCCCGCGGAGAGCGAGCGACCAGATCGTGTCACGAGCTAGCCTCGAACCAGGAGTGGTTAGTTCTGCGCCACCACGGAGGGCGCTGAGGTATCAGGTCCCTCCTCGGCGGCCACGGTGTCGGCGGCGTAGAGTGCTTGCCTTTTTCGCGGTGTGGTGGTGTTTTGGTAGTGTGCGGCCAGTAGCTGGCCTTGTGTTTTGCTTTGGTGCTGTGTCGATCAAAGGTGCCACCATCGTGCACGAAGGTGAGCCTTAACCCGAAGACAAAGAAGGAAAACAACACAGATTTACGGACTCTGGCGACTTGGTGGCGGCGTGGCGGCGGTAAGGTGCAACAAGACGTGGTAATCGAGGGAATGCGGGACCACCGCTCGGAGCAACAACCGGAGCGGTCGGTTTGGGAGGGATCCCATACTTGGGCGCCATCTATCCACGTACGAACAAGGCGCGCTCGGTTCGCCGAACATAATGTTGCCGCCGCGTCTGACAGAGAGTCATGACCTGAATGTGTTTCTTCCTCCATGGGTACATCAAGATGCCGTGAACGAGGGAATGCGAACCATTGCTGGGAGAAACAACCGGAGCGGTCGGTTTGGGAGGGACCCGATTCTTGGGCGCCATCTATCCCCGTGCGAGTGAAGCGCTCGGTGCGCTGAACATAATGTAGTCGCCGCGTCGGGCAGAGGGTCATCAACTAAATGTTCCTTCCACCGTGTCTCAAACCAAGGAGACCGTTTGTAATTTATTGTCGGACGCCTTCGGCGGAGGTTGGTCGTAAGAACGCATTCGCTGCGTCTTCGTGTGGGAAGGAGGAAAGGAGATGGAAAGTAAAAGACGCTCTCAGACGACCAACGTGTTTGACCCATCTTAGCGGCTCGTATTTTCAAGCGCAGTCCCCAAACCACGTCACTCGGATCGAGAAGTCCACTCTCTGTTATACCCTCTCTCTAGAGTCTATTATGTCGCAATCACACTGGCGGACACACTCGTTTTCATTATCGACTTTCAGCCTGAAACTTTACTGTATTTCTAAGCAACTGCCTTAGCAACCACTTCGCGATTTCGGCTCAAGCGCCGGCGTGAACGAGGCATTACACTCCATTTCACAACAAGTACGAGGGCAGCCAACTCCATAGTATCTAATGGAGAGAATCAGCGGCACCAAATATTCTCGTCATGCGGTCATCGTCTTTACGTGTTTCCTATTGGCGACAAATTAAACCAATAAAGCACAGTGAATCTACCGTTACCCGGTGCATTCACTGTGCCGGGTAGCGGGGCGTGACTGGCTCAACCGGGGAAAGCGAACGCACAAAAACGACGAGCAGCGTGACAATGCAGCTCTCACGCTGCTTGCGACGCTGTCATGCTGCTTGCCAACGTCGGGCTCCGTAATAATTTTTTGGTTAGTGTTTTCCTTTCATTGATAGCTCTCATGCTGCTTGTTTGACTCCATCAAATCTTAGTGTCAGCCGCGCATCGATTCAGTGTGGAACGTATTATAGTGTTTTGCAGAAACGTTGGACTAGATGCGTGAAAGCATAGCTTTACCGACGCCCCGCCGAAATGTTGACGCCCATTAGAGGTTCTCGAGGGTCCAACGGTATTCATTGCCCTTTAGCTGTTGCCGCGTACCCGAAGGCATTCCTGTGTCTTCAGGGGATAAAAAAACAACAAAAACATAAGGAAAGTCACTTTTGCATTAGACGTTCTTTTAGGTAAATAATAAGGGGAATAAAAAAAAGACAAAATGAAAGTGACGTCGCAATATACCTTCCTTTGGGTAAATAATGTGCCTTCCAAGGTAAAATCCTTGATGACGTAATCGCTTGAATGTCAAAATATAATTGTGGGTGGCCGAGTATAATGCGTCATGTATTGAGGCAAGAAATATCGTCCCAAACAAAATAGTGTCTTGCATAATGAGAGGTTAACCGTTTAAATCGTTGTTTTTGCCTTTAGTGTAATACATTGGTCATCTTAGGCCAAACCGCACTTTTTATTAGACGATGCCTTATGTGAAGTCTACCAGTAAAATGTGCCAGGTGCACTAGTTTAGAAGACACATGCCTCAACGGTCGGGAACATAAGAATGTCGGAGAGTGAAAATCTCTTATGCTGGCAGGAATCGCGCTCGTTCTTATTGTAGTCACATGCCTTTATTGAGGTGGATCTTATGGGCCGGGGCCGACTGTTTCGCATCTCCGATGCTCTGCTTAGAGGGCGACTCCGCTCCACACTTTCGATTTTGGGATTGTGACTGTTTTTAGCGCAGTCAGTGCCCCTGAATTACAAGGTGTATTTTTTTTTCTCTTTATTGTGCCTAGTTTTAAAGATATCGACGCCTCAAAGTTTTGTTCCACTGTAAAAAATCTTTCGTAGAAAAAACGAGAAAATGCTTGGCAGCTCTATTAAGAGGGGATGCCCATTAAAATAACGCACCCATATATTCAGAAAATATGTGAAAAGGGACGTTAATGCAACAATACCCATTTTTTCAAAATACGAGGATGCTCGTTAAACTTATCTCTACACATCATTTTAATGAGCATCCTTATAACGTGCCCCCATATTCTGAAAAAATGTGAAAAAAGTCGTTAATATGACAATACTCATTCTTCCGAAGTGTAAGGATGCCCATTAAAATTATGCATGCACATAATTTTAACAAGCAACCTCGCACTTCGGTAAAATGGGTACCGTTGCATTGACGACATCTTTTTTCACATATTTTCACAATATGGGGACACATTAGCATCTTAATGGGCAACCCCTCTTAATAGAGCTGCCAAGCATTTCATCATTTCTTTTTTACAAAATATTTGTTTCTACATCTGTTTTTAGCTGAGGCACTGAAGTAGCTCATGTTCTGCTGTCCATTATTTTTCACTTACACAAGTTTCTGTGCAACGATATTCTGAAATATAACTTCAGGGTCATTGATGCACCTGAAAACGTGAACCATATACTATGGGGATTGCAATGCAATGCCATAGTGAATTCATGCACTTTGGAGCAGCTCTGCTGCTTTGTCTAAATGAAGAGAAAATAATTGGCACAGAAACTTTAACTTCGAAATAGGTGAGATAGGGTGCAGCAAAACAGCAGCTAGCTACAGTGTTTCTGATGTGATGCACCTGCAGACACAGCTGTCAGCTGCTAAAATCTGTCGCAAGCCAAGAATAATAGGTAAGTGGAGAGAAGGAAACCACCATTGCACCATGATTGGTTGTTTTCTCCTCCCCACTCCCCTGCTCTCCAGCCTCCGCTCTGCTGATGTTGAAAGACTGGCGGGCTCTGTGGGAGGGGCTTGCTCTTGCTCTTCTAAAGTTGCAACAGACCAAAGCGACCTGGAGGTTTTCGAAAGTGCAGCTCAAGCTGGCCGGATCATATTAAGGCATCATATCGGCAGCAAATTCTCACAACATAAACACCCTTGAGAAAGGGTTCAGAATTGAGACAGCAGTAAAAATGCAAAATAGTTTGGTCGGTCGTTTGTAAATTATTTTTCTTTAGCTCTTTGTAGCTGTTTTCTTGGAGATTATTTTAAACAATAAAAAACGAGGGAAATTGTAATAGCTCTTTATTATATCTAAAATGCGTTTATGGGTACTTCTTCCGAGGTGTAGGGCTATCTCAATGCTCCCTGCATATGCAAAAGAAAGATATATATAGTCATAAGCTAAGCAGAAGGCTGTCGAAACAATACAAAACAAGGTGAGCCTGACATGCACACAATACAAATAATCCTGCTCGATCTGCAAAGAGAGACCAGCTCACCTTGATGAAAACAACTGGTCTGGACCATAAGGGAAGGCCAGCACATCTCGGCGCCTAATGTTTTCCTCCGAGGAGACCTGCGCTAATCATAGAAAATGTAGTTTTAGTTGAAAACCAATTGACATTGCAGGAGAGAGGCATGAAATATCTGATACAGCAAGTAATGTCCGTGACAAATAGGACACAGACCACAGCTCACTTCCAGTAAAACACCGTGCTTTGGGCCTCAGGCAATTAACGAAACAAAAACTTGTCTATGCTCCATCTTGCACTTTACGTGCAGAAAACCTGCAATTGCCAGGAAAAATGAAGATTTAGTTGAAAACCAAATGACATTTCAGAAGAGAAGAAAAATCTAGGGCAGCAAATAATGTCTGTGACAAGTAAGGCTGGTAGGAGACCATAGCTCACCTTCAATAAAACAATGTGCCTGGGCCAGTTAAAAAAAGAACCCCTTGTTCGGACCCCAGTCTACGCTTTCATCTGAAAAACCTGCGCTTAACAGGAAAATGCAGTTTTAGTTGAAAACCAATTGATATTTCAGAAGAGGAGCAAGATAAAACCTGATGCGGCTAATAATGTCTGTGATGAATAAAACACAGACCACTTGTAATGGGACCATAGCTCACCTTCAGTAAAGCTCCATGCCTTGGACGATTAAAAAAACAAAAAAACTTGTCCACACTCCATCCTGCGCTTTACGTGCAGAAAACCTGCAATTGCCAGGGAAAATGCAGATTTAGTTGAAAACCAACTGACATTTCAGAAGATAAATCTAGTGCAGCGAATAATGTCTGTCACGAATAAGGCACAGACACTTAAAGAACAACATAGCTCACCTTCATAAAGTATCAAATGTCCTATACTGAAAGTGTGCGTTAAATGTGTTCATTTGACATCCTGGTTTAATTGACCCAGCTTTTCATTAGTCAACGATCCAAAAAAAGCAAAATGTTTGACGAATCTGTCTTATATTTAAATTGTAGAACAGGTGTCCCACTGTACAAGCTATTTTGATGTCTGGGCTTGTTTCAATTCCACAAATTAACTACAAATGTCTGAGTAAAAAAGAGAAACATTAGACTCTTGCAGTAATTACCACAGAGGAGAGTATGTGAATTAGCAATCCGCATGTTATGGTTGCTATTGATTTGGCTTCAAATTGCGCTGCTCTAGCATGATTCACAAGAAAGTTACAACTCTGCAGAGAGTGAAATACCACCACCGCAGACCGCTCAAGTGCAAAACTTCTTTTTTGCCTATAAAACACATGGTTTGGAGTGTTGCCCAATTTAAAAGAGCAGCACGCTGACATTTGGCCCTTTGAAGTTTGAGCACACTCCTCTGTGGAAGTAGTCAAGTGGTGTATACGTACCTTCAGACTATGGTGATGGCAATTACGGTGCAGGCCTCGCTTGCAACCACCACTGGACAGAACGATGCAGAGCCAGGCAGAGCCCTGCTGTAGGTCTGTTTAAAAAAGAGAAACATTAGATGCCTGCAGTAATTACCACAGAGGAGAGAGTATGTGAATTAGCCATCCGCATGTTATGGTTGCTATTGATTTGGCTTCAAATTGCGCTGCTCTAGCATGATTCACAAGAAAGTTACAACTCCGCAGAAAGTGAAATACCACCACCGCAGACTGCTGAAGTGCAAAACTTCTTTTTTGCCTATAAAACACATGGTTTGGAGTGTTGCCCAATTTAAAACAGCAGCACGCTGGCATTTGGCCCTTTGATGTTTGAGCACACTCCTCTATGGAAGTTGTCAGATGGTGTATACATACCTTCAGACTATGGTGATGGCAACTACGGTGCAGGCCTCGCTTGCGACCACCACTGGACAGAGGGACGCAGAGCCAGGCAGAGCCCTGCTGTAGGTCTGGGTAAAAAAGAGAAACATTAGATGCCTGCAGTAATTATCACAGAGGAGAGAGTATGTGAATTAGCCATCCGCATGTTATGGTTGCTATTGATTTGGCTTCAAATTGCGCTGCTCTAGCATGATTCACAAGGAAGTTACAACTCCGCAGAGAGTGAAATACCACCACCGCAGACCGCTCAAGTGCAAAACTTATTTTTTGCCTATAAAACACATGGTTTGGAGTGTTGCCCAATTTAAAAGAGCAGCACGCTGGCATCTGGCCCTTTGATGTTTGAGCACACTCCTCTGTGGAAGTAGTCAAGTGGTGCATACATACCTTCAGACTATGGTGATGGCAATTACGGTGCAGGCCTCGCTTGCAACCACCAGTGGACAGAGGGATGCAGAGCCAGGCAGAGCCCTGCTGTAGGTCTGGGTAAAAAAGAAAACATTAGACGCCTGCAGTAATTACCACAGAGGAGAGAGTATGTGAATTAGCCATCCGCATGTTATGGTTGCTTGGCTTCAAATTGCGCTGCTCTAGGATGATTCACAAGAAAGTTACAACTCCACAGAGAGTGAAATACCACCACCGCAGACCGCTCAAGTGCAAAACTTCTTTTTTGCCTATAAAACACATGGTTTGGAGTGTTGCCCAATTTAAAAGAGCAGCATGCTGGCATTTGGCCCTTTAATGTTTGAGCACACTCCTCTATGGAAGTAGTCAAGTGGTGTATACGTACCTTCGACTATGGTGATGGCAATAACGGTGCAGGCCTCGCTTGCGACCACCACCGGACAGAGGGACATAAAGAGCCCTTTTGTAGGTCTGGGGAAACAGAGAAAAATTAGGCGCGCGAAATAATTTCCACGGAGGACGGTGCGAAAGCCCATTTTTGTTAAATTACCATCAGCATGTTATGCTGAATTTAATGACTGAGCTCCAACTGTCGGTTCCCGAACATGATTGACAGGGAAGTTATGGCTCCGAAGACAGTGAACACTGACGGCAGGGTTCGTTTAACTTTCTAGCATAAGCAACAAGTGCTTTAAAGTACTGTATTTTCCGGTCTAAAGACCCTAGGAGCCAATTTTGCCTAAAAAATAAGTTTTCGTTTGGACGTAGGCTGAAAAGCTAACATCCATAGTCTGTCAGTCCGCACCTCTCGCACAAAAGATATTTGCGGACGAAAGTCTGGATTTTCTTGTGCACCTCTCCTGGGTGAACCACAGAGCTCTCAGCTTGACCCACATTGACCGCTTGCAGGCATCCAAGCGAGCAGTGTGCCACACGCAAGGCATAGAAAGCCTGAGCAACAGATTGAAAGTGTGACGTTCACTTCTTAATCCCGGCATAAAACATTCTAAAATCTGCAGGCCAATCAGACCAGTCTGGTGCTAACGAAGGATCTAGAAACAAAAATTATTGCATAGTATAACCCGTATCTGTAGATAGTCTGCACAACACAAAAAAAAACAACTTTTATACATGCATAGTCTGTGGACTATAGACCAGAAAATACGCACTGTCTGATTCCGGAGAGCTGCACACTTCTGTTTTGCCTTTTGATGTTTGGCCTAATTATACCAACACACTCATCGATAGAGTTAGTCAAGTGGTGTACACATAATTTGAGATGTTGCTGATGTCAGTTATACTACATGACTTACTTTCCGCCACAACATAACACAGGGTCACATAGCCATACAAAACAGTGATATATGTTTGGGGAAAAAAAAAGTTACGAAAAACAAATTAACACGCTTGAATTTGCATGGACCAGGTAACGGAAAACTTTTTGAATTTACCGTCTGCATAAATGTACTCGGTGCGACCGTAAAAGCTGGCACGTTTGGCACGCTGGCGAAATTTGCAGCTGGCAATGAACGATATAATTGCGATAAAGATTTATTTTTACAAATTAAATTACCGATTACCCAGATTAACAAATATTTTAAAATGAAGAAACGTTTATTTATGAAAGATCTACATTAAACACACAAAAAAGGTTGCACCTGTTTTGTTTGTTTTTTTTTGTATTTTTTCGTCTTGCTTACCCGTTTGGGCGTCCGCAGAACGAAAATGGGAAAAACAACCGTTCGTCTGCTTTATAGCCCCTTCCCCTTGCGAACCGAGAGCGCTCGCAGAATCGCAGCTTCGAACGCCCAGCCTCCGCGAGCGAGCTCAGCGGCACATGCTGCAGCAAATGAGTTTGCTCTGTCCTCTGGCAGCCGCTGCCACTGCCGAGCTCTCCGGCGAGGCTTCACGGGCTGCACGGAAACCATCTCGGGCGATGACGTCGCGTCGTGATCCGACATACGGTACATAACTTACGGTTCTGCTGCCTTAGCTATTAGAGAGTTTTAGGGAACCGTTTTTGCACATCCGATACGGTACGATGGGCCCTCCGGTACGAACTGCGCATGCGCCTGTCTTCTGCGATCTTACCGTACTGCGCTGGTGGAACCGTAAGGCACGACCGGCACGACCGGCACGACCAATGGCCGACATGGACAGTCTCGCTTGGTTGGCAAAACGGCTATTTCGCTGGCGGAGAGAGCGTGCCGGGGCTCCAAACATGAATAAAATAAATCGTGGCAGTGCCTGGGAGGAGCGCCATGTGTGACAGCAAGTCCATAAAGTTTGAGTCAGCAAATAAGAAAAAGAATAAAGCACAAAACGCAATAGGACTTTTTCAATAGAAATGAAGTGGTGTTTAGCGTAGCCAGAAGTTGTAAGTTTTTTTTTTTTGTTCTTTTTATACAAACATTGGATGTGCATTTTGAGCACTTATCACCCGTTTTTTACAGCTGTTGTTATGACTGAGGATTATCTGTAGTGGCAACAGAGTAAGCAATAGACTTCTGCATCAAGGCTCTGGATACTTTTTAGTTTCAAAATGATGCATGAATGAAAACTTTCTGTACAAATGCTTATCACATATATCCTATAAAACTAGCCCTTTGAATATTGGGTGATAGTTTTATTAAGTGTACAGCAGTAAAGCTAGGTTTTCCTTTATATTTTCTTCGTGGTCGTACCGTACACGGCGCAACGATCGTTACTCGGGCCTACGACCGTGATCGTCGGCTATCTGTACCGTAAAGCGCGATCCAAACAAACGCTTCTTTTTGCGCCTGTAGGTCGTGCGGCTGCGGATGTGACGCATTTCCGTGACGTCGCGCCGCTTCTTCGCTCCTTCCGGGCGCGCACAAGAAAGTTGGTTGAGAAAGAAGTTGATTTCAACTTCTTTCTCAACGCGCACAAAAACGCGCGGTGACGTAGTAGGGCGCTCCTGTGTCCCGGCCAATCGGTGGAGGGCAAGCTAGTTCCGGCTCCGCGTTTCTCGCCGTCTGGCTGCCCTCTCCTCCCCTCTTTTATTCTCTTCCAACATGACAACGCGATCTCTCTCTCTCTCTTTCTCTCGCCGTCTGGCCGGCCCGTCTGTCGCAGTTGCACTTTGCTTTGCTTGTGCGCTCGTGCCTGCGTGCGCGCTCGCCCGAAGTTTCGCCCGTCCAAACCAAAGCGCACGGTTCTGACTCATGGTGAATTCCACTCGTAGATCCGGAGCGCTTCCCAAAATCCGCGAGGGAGGCAAAATTCCGCTCCGTGGGACCCG